CGTGGCCGGAAAGGGACTGGAGCGGAGGGTGGGGGGAGGGGAAGCACCACGTGCCTCCTGCCCCGCAGGCTCGGAGGGTCTGGGGAGCCCCCTCACCCTCCACATCACCCGGGCAGGACACTGGCAAGACCCCCGGGGGGGGGGGTCGGGCCGCAGGCCAGCAGGGGTGTGTGACCCAGTCCCACCCCCTTGCCAGGGCTGGGTCTGGCCCTCTGCCAGGGAACTCCCAGGTCAGCATTTTCCCCCAGAATCTGGTCCTCAGAGTCTCAGGCCCCAAGGGCTTGTGGAGTCGGGTCCCAGAGCCCCACTTACCTGGAATCTAGTCTTTCCTGAGGGATCTCAGGCGGCCCCTCCCCTCCCCGGGGGTTGTGGTGGGGCTCCAGGCCACGCTATGGCTGCTCCCAGCCCCAACAGTCTCTCGTGCCCAGAAACACAGCGGCCTCTGCCGGCCAGGCCTCGTCCACCAGCCCCGACTCAGCCTGCGGTCTCGGGGTGCCCTCTGGTGGCTGATGGGCCCGACCAGCGAGGCTGCCAGGGATCCCAGAGCGGGGCCTGGACTGGGCCTCCCACCCAGCCCCGAGTTCAGAGGAGGAGAGGACCCCGGAGGGGGCCCTGGGGTCTCTGGGGAAGGGGCGCACAGATCTGTCACCTGCTTTCATGTGTTACTGCAAACGCCCAGAAGCCGAGCTGCTCGGATCCCCATTTTCCAGAGAAGCCAAGGCCTGGAGTTAGAGAGACAGAAGGGTCTGCAGGGCGTGAACCAGGGCCCCGTGCTGCTCCTCGGCGGAGGGACAGTGTGCGCGAAGCCTGCTCGCTGACGGCAGCCTGCCCACCCCTCCAGGGCAGCAGTCCTGGGGGCCGACTCCTCTCCGCTTGGTGGGACCCAGGAAGGGACGGGACAGTCTCTGCCTCCTCCAGGGCCAGCTGGGCTGTACCCCCTGGGATCAGCCACTCCCACCTGCTGGAGAGATGGGCAAGGCCAAGGAGGAAGCAGAAACACGGGAGGGGCGACGCTGCCATCCCCACGGGAGACTGGTGCTGCCCAAGGGGTCCCTGGGCCCACCGGAGACGGACGGCTGGCCCTTGTGCCCGATGGCTTGCCCAGAGAGGGCCTGTGGGCCGGGCCAGGCTGAGGTCAGGTGGTGCCCAGCTCTGCTCACGGCATTGGCTGCCCGGGTGCCAGGCGTGGTGGGCGGGGAGGGGCGGGCGGGCTGTGGGCCCCTCCACCCGCCCCTTGGCCGGCAGTCACACTACGGGCCTCAGGGAGAAGGCAGGCAGGTAGGAGCCCGGCCACCAGCCCCCGGGGGCGGGGAGGAGGGGGCGCCCTGTCCCCTGGTCACTTCCTGCCCTGTGCCTCGGTTTCTCCCCTGGACCCTGGAATGAGTCCCGCCTTCCTGGGGGTGCAGACGGACAGTCCCTCAGTGGGCGAGGCGGGGGGTCTGGAAAGGAGCCTGGAGAGGGTCTGGCCAGGATGTGCAGCCCCAGGGCCCTGGGGGCCGGATGCAGGGAGCCAATGCTCCCAGCCAGAGCCTGTCTGGGTTGGGGGCTGACTGCTGGCTACAGAGCGTGGGACCCCTGGGCACCGCTCCTGGTCACCGTGTCCTCCCATTTCAGGAGGGAGGGGCAGGCCTGAGCAGTGAGGGGCTGGCCCTGGTGACACGGCCCTGGGAGGGGCCGCCTGGGACCCCCAGGGCCTGGCTGCCCAGGTCCACAGCACTGGGGTAGCTTTCAGTGACCCCCTGACCAGGGCTGGCTGTCTGCCCCTCTGCCCGCCCCGAGCACGAGCCCCAGCGCCTTCACTGCTGGAGTTGAAGAGCTTCTCTCCATTCTGTTCTGCCTGTCAGGGGTAGGGGGTGGGATTCCAGCGGGGATGACACAGGACCCCTGGGTGCCCGGACTCCCCCGCCCCCTCCAGGAACAGGGGCATTGAGCCCCGGACACCTGCTCATGCAAATCTGCTGTTTGCATGTCCTTCCCGCTCCACAGCCCCATTTGCCTGGTGCCCCTCCCACCCCCAGCGCTCGGCGTCCCCCCCACCCCCGTGCTCGGGGCCACCCCCACCATGCTCAGTGACCCCCCAGCCCTTGGCACAGGACCCGCCGCCCCTTGGCCGCCGGGCTGGAAAGCCAGAGGCCAGGGCCCAGCCTTCGGGGTCGGGGGTGAAGGGTGTGGGTGAGGGGTCAGGTGGTGACCCCAGGGAAGGCAAAACTGGGGCTTAGGACCACCTGCCTATCAGCGAGGAAAGGCTGATGTGGGCTGTGGGGGAGAGCACCACAGCACCTCTCCTGAGACAGAGGCCAGCCCCAGGCCCCCCGTCTCTGGCGGAGCAAGCCTGGGGCTCACAGACTGTGAGCACCCCAGTGCTGCCCAGGCCCCCACACATGTCAGGCCGGGGCACGTCCACACCGGGCCAGGGCGTGTCCACACTGGGCCGGGGAGCGTCCACACAGCGGGGATGCATCCACATGGCCAGGGCACGTCCACACTGGGCCAGGATGCGTCCACACGGCCAGGGCGTGTCCACACCGGACCAGGGCGCGTCCACACTGGGCCGGGGAGCGTCCACACTGGGCCGGGACGTGTCCACACTGGGCCGGGGCGCATCCACACTGGGCCAAGATGCATCCACACGGCCAGGGCGTGTCCACACTGGGCCAGGGAGCGTCCACACTGGGCCGGGGAGCGTCCACACTGGGCCGGGGCGCGTCCACACTGGGCCAGGGAGGGTCCACACTGGGCCGGGGCGCGTCCACACTGGGCCAGGGAGCGTCCACACTGGGCCGGGGCGCGTCCAGCAGTGGGGAGGGAGGCCATCCCCACAGGCCCTGCTCTGTTCCCGGGAAGGCTCCCCATGTTACTACCTACACTCTGTGGTTGAAGAGCATCCCCCCGAATTCACATCCACCCTGAATCTCAGGATGCTTGGAAAGAGGGTCTTTGCAGAAGCAGGACTGATGGTGAGGTCACAGGGAGTGGGGCGGCCCCTGGGGCAATGACCGCTGTCCTTACAAGGAGACAGGGAGGTGGAGGCAGAGACTGGAGGGACGCCGGAGCCCCCAGAGCTGGACGGGGTGAGGACCCTGCCCTAGACCCTGCAGAGAGAGCAGGGCCCTGTGCACCTTGATTTGGGGCTTCTGGCCTCCAGAGCCTCCTGTCGCTTTAAGACGCCCAGGCGGGGGTCATTCGTTAGGGCGCCCTGGGGCTCTGCAGCAGTTATGACCCCCAGGGCGGCAGGGCCGAGGGGTGCCCCAGCCCCGGCCAGGCTGAGCCCCCCTCGCCGCCCAGCCCAGCTCTGTGGTCACATGCAGGTCCCCCCACACCCTGCGTGTGTCCCAGCAAGGTGGGCCCAGCACAGGTGGGGTGGGGGGTCAGATGCAAATCGTCCCCCACCCTCTCCCAGGGCCGGGATGGGGGGAATTTGAATACGGCCTTTCCAAGCCGGTGATTAACGATCTTTAGTCCAGGAGGCTGTGTGTGGGGACAGGGCCTGGGTGTGGGGGAACAACGCGGGCTGTAGGTGTGCCCTGGCAGCCGTGACAAAGTCCCGCAGAGGGGGCAGAGGACATGGGGAAGGCGTCTCTGCTCAGGAGGCCGGAACCCCACAGCAGGGCCAGGGGAGCGTCCTTCCTGCTCTTCCCTGGGCCCCGGCGTCCCCGGCCTTGGCCACATCCCTCCAGCCTCTGTGTGCATCCTCACTCGGCTTCTTCCCCTCCTTCCAAGGCCACCTTGGTCAGTGGATCAGGGCCCATCCTGATGACCTCCCTCTCCCTGATCACATCCGCAAAGGGCTTACTTCCACAACAAGCGTGTTCACAGGCCCCAGGAGCGAGGGCGTGGACGCGTCACTTTGGGGGATGCGTCACTTCTGGGGACACGGTGGTGGGCCCGTGGCGACCTACAGGGGCCCTGCCCACACCCGCCAGCCCTGCCTGTGTGCACAGGTGGCCCCTCTCTAAGAATCAAAGGGCTGGTCTGGCCCTGAGAACCGAGGGAGTTGCTCTCCTTTCACAAAGGGCCCATCCTGGCTGGGCCCTGCCCAGGGCACCTCCCAGGGGACAGCGGTGGACGGGGCAGGCGCGGAGCCAGAGCTTCCCAGGGTGGATCCGGCAGGGCAGGGCCTGTCGGGTCTGCCGGGACCTGGGGTCCCATCGGCTCTGCTCCTTCTGTGAACACAGGGGTGCAGGGGCAGGGTGGGCACGCTCTCCCCACTGGGTCTGCAGAGGAGGCCGCCGGAGACAGCAGGTTGCGGGGGGCCGTGCAGGCCATGGCCAGGGGGTGGGAGCTGGGTGGCTGGTCTGCAGTGGGTCCAGGAGGTGTGGGGGCGTTTGCCATCAGGCAGGCTGATGGGACCCAGGTCCTGTCCCTCGGGCCATTCCTGGGACCCCTCCGGGCACGTGGGCAGTGCTGGGTTGGAGTGAGGACTCAGTGGGCAGGTCTCTGGGAGGTGGGAAGGGCAGGGGGTTAAGGAGGAGGCCCTGTCTCTCCTCACCTGAGCTTCGTGCACCTGCTTGCCTGCCACCCCCTCTCCTCCGGGCACCTGGTGCCCAGGGTCCCATGCCTGTCCTGGGTTGACAGGGCTCTGCCATGGGGGGTATGGGGCAGGCTGCCAGACTTCCACTGCCTTTCGGGCTTTCCAGGACACCCCCTGCCAAAGCCTCGGCAGAAGTGGCAACGGACGCAGCTGGCTCGTGGCGCTGGGGGAGAGTGAGTAGGAGCATGGGGTGGGGAGGGGGCCAGGAGAAGCTTCCACCCGTCTTGGGGCCGGGGGCTTTGGAAGCTTGAGGAGGGCAATGCAGGCGGGAGGCAGGCCGAGACCGAGGGGCTACAGGCGGTCAGGCTCAGGGTTGGAGGACTGCAGGGAAGGGCACTGGGGCAGGTGCCTCCTCTTTCCACCTGCACCTGGGCTTCCCTGCGAAGGCGGCTGGGCCTCCAGCAGGAAGTGGGGTGGGGCTGACCCCTGGTGCCCTCAGGGTGGGCTCTGTCCCTGCAGAGAGGACCCCATGCAGGACGCCAGGGGCACCCGTCCTGGCAGCCCCGGGGGTGCTGGAGACACACAGGGGCCGAGCCTGGGCCGGGGTGAGATCGTCTTCGGAGTGTCCGGGAAGAAGCGAGGCAAGGTGAGAGCTGCCCCACCTGGGCACTGGCCGGCACCAACCCCTGGGCTCCCTGGACCCCGGGCCCCGACTCCCATCTCCAGGCCGCTCTCCCTTAAGGGGTCTGTTTGGAGCCCCCAGGAGGACAGAATTCTGGAGCTGGTAGCCCTCTCTGGCCCCTGCCTCCCACCCCAACACACGGCAGGTCAGGCCCCGCCTCCAGCCATCCTTGGCCGCTCACAGGTTACCCAGCAGGCCCAGATGGCCTGGGGAGCTCTGGCCTCCAACTGTGACCCTGCCCCCACCCTCTGGAGCCCAGCCCACCCCTGTGCCTAGCGCCCCCTCGCCTGCACCCCTGATCCCACCCTGCAGTTCGTGAGGGTGCCCAGCGGCGTGGCCCCGTCTGTGCTTTTTGATCTGCTGCTGGCCGAGTGGCACCTGCCGGCCCCCAACCTGGTGGTGTCACTAGTGGGCGAGGAGCGACCCTTCGCGTTGAAGCCGTGGCTGCGGGATGTGCTGCGCAAGGGGCTGGTGAAGGCGGCTCAGAGCACAGGTGGGTCAGGGTGCAGGGGGTCAGGGTGCAGGGGGTCAGGACGCAGGTCAGGGAGCAAGTGGGTCAGGGTGCAGGAGGTCAGGGCACAGGGGGTCAGGGTGCAGGGGGTCAGGGTGCAGGGGGTCAGGGCGCAGGTGGCTCAGGGTGCAGGGGGTCAGAGAGCAGGTGGGTCAGAATACCTGAGAGGCCCCGTGCTGGCCCTCAGCTGCCGTCCCCACAGTCACCCTCCCTCCGCGGCGCTGCAGGGTGGTGGGAGCTCCTCTGGGGGACACGGCCGAGGGGCTGAAGGTCCCCGGGCTCAGAGCCTCCTCCAAGAGATCCCAGCCATGTGTGAGGCCAACAGGCCTCAGCGGGACACCCCAGGGAAGGGTGAAACCTCTACAACCTGCTGTCCACGCTGGGCCTCCTTCACCCCATCTCCCGGGACAGCACCCTGGCCCGCCAGTCGCTGGGGTCAGAATTAAACTCCTGGGCTTTGATTTCAGGGGCTGGGCCTTCAGATGGCCCAGTCAGGGAGGGGGGTGTCCACCCTCTCCCAGCCCAGAAACGACTGTAGGAGAGACGAAGGCGCTGCTGACCGTCGGGCTGAGGGCTCTGTGCTCTGGAAGGACGTCCTGGGTTCTGGGCGAGCACAGGCCGGGGTCAGAGTCTCTGTCCAGAGGGCAGCAGGGGCCTGCCTCTAGTCCTAACCCTGACCTTGGTCCTGGAGAGCACCTGGGAAGGCCGCCGTGCTCAGGGACCCCTGTGCCTGCAGGAGCCTGGATCCTGACCAGTGCGCTCCGAGTGGGCCTCGCCCGCTACGTTGGGCAGGCCGTGCGTGACCACTCCTTGGCCAGCACATCCACCAAGGCCCGCGTGGTGGCCATTGGCATCGCCTCGTTGGGCCGTGTGCTGCACCGCCGGCTCCTGGACCATGCCCAGGTGGGCGCCGGGCTCTGGGCGCTCAGGCCATGGGGCACGGTGGCGGGGCAGGGAGGCCCCCAGAGATCGGCCGCCTCGGGGCTGCAGGGCACGCCTGACAGAGGCCACCAGGGCCATCTTGCAGGCTGACCGCACTACACCGTCTGTGACTGAGCCCCCACCTGCCAGGCCAGCAGTGGGCAGACCAGCCCTACCCTCGAGGTGGGGGGAGCGAGCTCACAGGCCTGGGAGGGAGCGAGGCTGCTCTAAAGGCCGTGACAGTGACGTGACTCCAGAGCCAGGGGTGGGGTGGGGTGTTGGGGGCAGGAAGGGGCAGGTAGGGAAGGGAGGGGAGCCAGGGGGGGTCTCCTGCCCAGCGAGCGGCCAGCAGGAGGCAGCATCTCCCAGGACCCGAGTTGGGAGGGGGCTGCCAGGCTCCCAGCCAGCAAGGGCCTGGAGTGGGCACCTGGTTTCCGAGCACCCCACCCAGACTGGTGCCCAAACGACCGGCTTGGCCACCGCCCCACAAACTCGTGTGACTCGGGGCTGGTGTCCCCCGCCCTGCCCCCGGAGGAGGGTCTCAGGCAGGCCCCCAGAAGTGTGAGTGGAGCCCCCACCCCCAGCATGCGGGCTCCGTCTCGAGGGTACCCTCCCTGGGCGCCCCCTGCAGCAGCGGCGGCGGCTCTCCCGCCATCTGGGGGTGCGGGCCACACCTGGGCCTCACGCTGTGTGTGCCTAGGGTGACGGCCCCGTGCAGTACCCCTTGGACGACGGAGGCAGCCAGGGCCCCCTCAGCCCCCTGGACAACAACCACTCCCACTTCATCCTGGTGGAGCCGGAGGCCCCCGGGAAGGGCGACGAGCCTGCGGAACTGCGGCTGCTGCTGGAGAAGTACATCTCGGAGCAGAGGACAGGCTACGGGGGTGAGGAAGGGCAGGGCTGAAGGACTGCCAGCTTGGGTCGGGACGGGCATTCCAGGCTGAAGGCAGCAAACTCGCCAGAGCGTTGAGACCTGGGCCACTGGGGGGTCCTGGGTGAGGGGGCTGCTGGCCAGGGTGATGGGGAACATGACTTTGGGGAGTCTCTGCCAGGCGGTAACATTCCCACTGGGCAGCAGAGTGGTTGCAGGTCCGTTTCCAGTGCCGCCCCACCCCCACCCCACCCGACCGGAGGCTCTGGCTGGGGGCTCCAGGCTCTGCAAAGAAAGTGAGATTTGTTCATTTCCAGAGGCCCATCTCCCTACACCGCCCAAGGTTCGCTGCCAGCAGGGGGCAGTGCTGCCTGAGGCGCGGCCTCCAGCGTGGCCAGGGCGGGTCTAAATCCTAAAAGCAGGATTTGCTAAAGCCCGTGTATTTACAACTAACATGTACAAATAATATACATGTGATCACTGGCAATATTTATAAGCAGTGTGTGTGTGTCTGCCAACTTAGCACTGTTTAATGAGAACGCAACCTAAGCCATGTTTAACCCTCACCTTGAGGATGCAGGGCTGGCCTGGGCTGCTGAAGCTGGGAGGCTCACACGCCCTCTGCCCAGTATCCTTCCCGCTCCGCAGATGCCTCGGGAGTTACAGGGGACCATTCTTGGGGCCGTCCCGGCAGTTTGCCAAGCTTTCCCCTCATAGCCCATCTGGCAGGTCCGGGCTCCTGCGGCTGCACATTCAGAAGTCTCACGTCTATTTTTTGAGGGGAAGTAGCCCAACTGCACCTCTCCTTCACCACATTGAGGTGCTCCAGGGCCCTCGGATGGCCTGGCAAGTGGTCAGTGGAGCTTTCTGCCCTGGCCGAGGAGACGGGCCCGCCTTTCAAACGTGGCTGGTGTGGCCAGGGATCCGATGTTCAACTTGATGTTTAAACAGCCAAGAGGTGGCCACACTGGACAGTGGGGAGTGGGCCTGGCATCCCTGTCCCGGGTGACTGGGCAGCTGGGAGGCCACCTCTGGAGAAAAAGCCTCTTGCCTGGAGTTTGCCCAGAAAACGCCATCGGGTGGTGGTCTGAGGCCTGGGGGGTGACCCCACAGGAGGGTCCCAGGCCCTCTGCTCACCCGGGCACCTGGGTGGACACTGTGCTCCATCCGTCCACAGGAACCAGCAGCATCGAGATCCCTGTCCTCTGTCTGCTGGTCAACGGGGACCCCAGCACCCTGGAGGTAGGGCAGGCGCGGCAGGAGGGGGCCTCCCTCGGGGCCCCCCAGCCAGGGCCGAGATCGCACCTGGCACTGACCTGGTCCATTGTGCCCCCCTCCGCCCACCTCAGAGGATTTCCAGGGCTGTGGAGCACGCCACCCCATGGCTGATCCTGGCGGGCTCAGGGGGCGTCGCCGATGTGCTCGCTGCCCTCGTGAACCAGCCCCACCTCCTGGCGCCCCAGGTGGCAGAGAAGCAGTTTAGGGAGAAGTTCCCCAGCGAGCACTTCTCCTGGGAGGACATCGTGCGCTGGACCAAGCTGGTATGAGCTGCCAGAGGGAGGGCCGCGTGCTGGCCCCGCCCTAGACCCCAGCCCCTGGACTGCGTGTCCATGCCCGGCCTCTCTGGCTGCAAAGCCCCCGGGCTGGCCCCCGCTTCAGGCCCTCGAGGGGTGGGGATGCCCTGGGCCTGGCGGGCTGGCATTCTGGCTGGGGGCCGTGGGGTCACACACCACCTGCCCTGCCCGCGGGGTCACCTCCGGGCCTTTGTCCTGGGGTCCCAGCTACAGACCATCATGTCCCACCCGCACCTGCTCACCGTGCACGATTTCGAGCAGGAGGGCTCCGAGGAGCTGGACACGGTCATCCTCAAGGCGCTGGTAAAAGGTGAGGCCCGGCCGTGCCCGCAGAGGGCGCTGGGCAGGGGAGGGTGGTCAGCCAGCCCGGCGAGGGGCGGCCCCCACCCCGGGGTCTCGGCCTCTGGGGCCTGCTCTTGGGGCGGCTGTGCTCTGCTGTGAGTGTGAGTGTGTGTGACGGCGTGTGCGAGTGTTTGAGCGTGTGAACAGCCGTGTGTACACAGCGGCAGCACGTGTGACCAAACAGAAGGAACACAGAACCTTCCGGGGCCTCCGTACAATGATGACACGCAAATCCACGAGATGTTCTGTCTTTGGCAAGTTTTACGTTAGATATATTTTATCACAAATTTTTTAACTGTTTAATTATTCATTCCTAACTTTTATGTACTTAGTTTTAGCTGAGCTTGGTCTCTGTTGCGGACTCAGGCCTTGCTCTGGCTGCGGTGTGCGGGCTCTCACCGCGGAGGCCCCTCTTGTCGGGGCGCAGGGGCTCCAGGCGCCCGGGCCTCAGTGGCTGTGCTGTGTGGGCTTAGCTGCGCCGGGGCACGGGGATCCTCCCGGAGCAGGGAGTGACCCTGTGTTCCCCTGCATTGGTGGGGAGATGCTTAACCTCTGGACCACCAGGGAAGTCCTTAGAAAGCTAAGGTGCTCAGTAAACTCCGGGGTTTTAGTGCTTTCACAAGGTGGTCCACTGCTACTACTAAGTCCCGAGCATGTCCACCACCCAGAAGACCCACTAGACCCCGGCCTCCCCCAGTCTCTGGCGACCACGAGCCTGCCGTGTCTGAATCCGCCCGCTGGGGGCATTCCCTGGACATGGGACCAGACGCCCTGAGGCCTTTGGAGTCTTGCTCTGGGCATGCTGCTTTGGGCGGTCATGGGACCAGACGCCCTGAGGCCTTTGGAGTCTTGCTCTGGGCATGCTGCTTTGGGCAGACATGGGACCACACGCCCTGAGGCCTTTGGAGTCTTGCTCTGGGCATGCTGCTTTGGGCGGTCGTCCGGTACACTGTGGCCGGTACTGGGCGCCCGTCCCTTTAGGACAGTGACGGTCCGCGCTTTCTCTGTTGCTCTGTGGATGGACAGTCGGCTGGTCTCCACGTCCTGGCTGTCACTCACTTTGCTTCTCATTGAAGATAAACACCTGCGGAGAGGCTGACCACTGGCAGGGGACATAGGCCCACACAGGGAGCAACTTTGGGGCAGGGGGCAGCCTTGAGGAAGGGAAGACTCCTCCAGACAGTCACCCACCCACTCCCCACTATTCCACCCAGCCCTGGAGTCCCCTTGGGGTCCTGGAGCTCCCAGCGGTGGCTCCTGGAGGTGTGGATGTCTTGTGGCTCCTGCAGGTACTCAGAGGGTGTGGAGAGAACCAGGACATCACGTCCGTGGACGTACATTTAGGAGACCCACCTCGAGGGGCCCTGTGCCCACTGGCTCTGCCAGCACCTGGGTTCCCCCTCAGCCACTCCACCCTCCCCGCCCGCAGCCTGCAAGAGCCACAGCCAGGAGGCGCAGGACTACCTGGACGAACTGAAGTTGGCCGTGGCCTGGGACCGCGTGGACATCGCCAAGAGCGAGATCTTCAACGGGGACGTGGAGTGGAAGGTGGCACCAGGCTCTGGCCAGCGCCGGGCGGGCACCCTGACGAGGGGCCGGGGGCAGCTGGTGTCCAGGGCAGGCCTGTCACCAGGGGAGCCGGGGAGGCCAGGGCACCTCCCGTTGGGCCTCAGTGGCGGGCATCCCAGGCAGGAGGGGCTAAACATCAGCGGGCGCGGCCGCCTCGGTGCAGAGCAACAGGCAGGGCAGGGCACCCGGGAGCTGGGCGGCTTGCTGAGGGTCCCCACGCCCCTCCCGCGGGCCCCCTTCCCCATGGGTTCCTGCTCACCCTCCACCCGGCGCCCCAGTCCCGCGACCTGGAGGAGGTGATGATGGACGCGCTGGTGAGCAACAAGCCCGAGTTCGTGCGCCTCTTCGTGGACAACGGCGCGGACGTGGCGGACTTCCTGACCTACGGGCGGCTGCAGCAGCTCTACCGCTCCGTGGCCCCCAAGAGCCTGCTCTTCGACCTGCTGCAGCGCAAGCACGAGGAAGGCCGGCTGACGCTGGCCGGGCTGGGCGCCCAGCAGGCCCGGGAGCCGCCCGCCGGGCTGCCCGCCTTCTCCCTGCACGAGGTCTCACGGGTGCTCAAGGATTTCCTGCACGACGNACGCTGCGGGGGGCCAAGTACGAGCAGCTGGCCCTGGGTGAGCACGGCGGGGAGCTGGCGCTGGGCGGGACTGGGCGGCGGGTGCTCCCGGCGTGGACACGCGGGCAGAGGGAGGCTCCCACTCCCGACGGGGAGGCCGGGTGCGGACGGGCACATCTCACAGCCCCGGGGAGGTGGGCGCGGGCGGGTGCAAGCTGCGGGGGGGAGCCCGGCGGGCGGGCCTGGGCGTCACGGCCGCGGCCACCCCGCAGACCTCTTCTCCCAGTGTTACCGCCACAGCGAGGAGCGCGCCTTCGCCCTGCTGGTGCGTCGGAACCGCTGCTGGAGCAGAACCACCTGCCTGCACCTGGCCACCGAGGCCGACACCAAGGCCTTCTTTGCCCACGACGGGGTGCAGGTGAGCCCTGGGCGTGCTGTGGGCAAAGCCTGTGCAGACAGCAGGTGCCCCAGCCAGCTCCCTCAGGTGCTCCCCCACCCGCCTCCAGGCCACTGGGGTTGGGGAGCTCCATTCCTGGAAGCCGCCCACCTGACCCCCTCTGCTGGCCGCTCTCCCCACTAGCCCCAAGTCCAGTTCAGTCGCTCAGCTGTGTCTGACTCTGCGACCCCACGCATGGCAGCACTCCTCTTCCCTGTCCATCACCAACTCGCGAACCATGCTCAAACTCCCATCCATCAAATCAGTGTTGCCATCCAACCATCTCATCCTCTGTTGCCCCTTCTCCTCCCATCTTCAAGCTTTCCCAGCATCAGAGTCTTTTCCAATGAGTCAGTTCTTCACATCAGATGGCCAAACTATTGGAGTTTCAGCTTTAGTATCAGCCCTTCCAGTGACATTCAGGACTGATTTCCTTTAGGAGAGACTGGTTGGATCTCCTTGCAGTCCAAGGGACTCTCAAGAGTCTTCTCCAACACCACAGTTCAAAAGCATCAATCCTTCGGCACTCAGCTTTCTTTATAGTCCAACTCTCACATCCATACATGACTACTGGAAAATCCATAGCCTTGACTAGATGGACCTTTGTTGGTAAAGTAATGTCTCTGCTTTTTAATATGCTNCCTTTTTGCATTTCTTTTTCTTGTGGATGGTCTTGATCACTGCCTTCTGTACAATGTCACAAACCTCTGTCCATAGTTCTTCAGGCACTCTGTCAGGTCTAATCCCTTGAATCTATTTGTCACTCCCATTGTATAATCATAAAGGATTTGATTTAGGTCATACCTGAATGATCTAGTGGTTTCCCCTACTTTCTTCAATTTAAGTGTGAATTTGGCAATAAGAAGTTCATGATCGGAGCCAAAATTAGCTCCCAGTCTTGTTTTTGCTGACTGTATAGAGCTTCTCCATCTTTGGCTGCAAAGAATATAATCAATCTGATTTGGGTATTGACCATCTGATGATGTCCATGTGTAGAGCCTTCTCTTTTGTTGGAAAAGGGTGTTTGCTATGACCAGTGCGTTCTCTTGGCAAAACTCTGTTAGCCTGCTTCGTTTTGTACTCCAAGGCCAAATTTGCCTGTTATTCCAGGTGTCTCTTGACTTCCTACTTTTGCATTCCAGTCCCCTATGATGAAGGGGACATCTTTTTTGGGTGTTAGTTCTCCGCCTCTGGTCTCGGCAGGAATGCTAACCCGGAGCCTAGCCTCCCTCCATGGAAGGAGCTCCTTCTCCCCCAGGAGGGAGGCCCTGGGGGCTCCAGACTGGGGGGACTGATGCCTCCGCTGAACCCTGAGGGCAGGCCTGCTGCGGCGGGCACTGCAGCAAAGGTGTGGAGGGGGTCGGGGGGGGGCAACAGCCACGCCTTTGTTTCAGGCCTTCCTGACCAAGATCTGGTGGGGGGACATGGCCTCGGGCACCCCCATCCTGCGGCTGCTGTGCGCCTTCTTCTGCCCGGCCCTCATCTACACCAACCTCATCACCTTTAGGTTGGTCAGCACAGATAGCAGCCGCTTGCCAGAGCTGTGCCAGGCTGGGGGGAGGGGAGGGGGGAGGGAGTGGAGTGCAGTTTCACTGTTGCCGGTGGTGGCACACCCCCAGCCTCCCCCCACTGCAGATCCGTGTGGCCCCTGTGCGCGCCCCCCCTCCCCACCGCAGATCCGCGTGGCCCCTGCGCGCCCCCCACCCCTCATCCCTCTGCAGTGCACCTGCTGGCCGGGGGCTCAGGGCCGAGCGGGAGCCTCGGGTGCCCTCCCCCGGTCCCTGAGGGGCTCGTGTGCTCGCAGCGAGGAGGCCCCCCTAAGGACAGGCCCAGAGGACCTGCAGGAGCTGGACAGTCTGGACACAGAGAAGAGCCTGCTCTGCGGCCTGGGCAGCGGGTGAGAGCCTGCGGAGGGGCAATGGTGGGCATGGGCGAGTTCGGGACCCCGGGTGCCCGTCTCACCACTGCCCATGGCCTCCTTCGGGCGCAGGGCGGAGGAGCTGGCTGAGGCGCTGAGGGGTGAAGGTGACCGAGGCCGGAGAGCCGCCTTCCTGCTAACACGCTGGCGGAAGTTCTGGGGGGCGCCCGTCACCGTGTTCCTCGGGAACGTGGTCATGTACTTTGCCTTCCTCTTCCTGTTCACCTACGTCCTGCTGGTGGACTTCCGGCCCCCTCCCCAGGGGCCATCGGGGTCTGAGGTCACCCTCTACTTCTGGGTCTTCACGCTGGTGCTGGAGGAGATCCGGCAGGTCAGTGGGGGGCCCGGCCCGGCTGCAGACGGAGCCCGGGGGGTTGCAGGTCACAGCCCGGCCCAGGAGAGGCTGTGCCCCGCGAGGGGGAGCCCGGGCCGCTGTCACTGGGCCGCCTGCCCCCCGCCAGGGCTTCTTCACAGACGAGGACACGCGCCTGGTGAAGAAGTTCATGATCGGAGCCAAAATTAGCTCCCAGTCTTGTTTTTGCTGACTGTATAGAGCTTCTCCATCTTTGGCTGCAAAGAATATAATCAATCTGATTTGGGTATTGACCATCTGATGATGTCCATGTGTAGAGCCTTCTCTTTTGTTGGAAAAGGGTGTTTGCTATGACCAGTGCGTTCTCTTGGCAAAACTCTGTTAGCCTGCTTCGTTTTGTACTCCAAGGCCAAATTTGCCTGTTATTCCAGGTGTCTCTTGACTTCCTACTTTTGCATTCCAGTCCCCTATGATGAAGGGGACATCTTTTTTGGGTGTTAGTTCTCCGCCTCTGGTCTCGGCAGGAATGCTAACCCGGAGCCTAGCCTCCCTCCATGGAAGGAGCTCCTTCTCCCCCAGGAGGGAGGCCCTGGGGGCTCCAGACTGGGGGGACTGATGCCTCCGCTGAACCCTGAGGGCAGGCCTGCTGCGGCGGGCACTGCAGCAAAGGTGTGGAGGGGGTCGGGGGGGGCAACAGCCACGCCTTTGTTTCAGGCCTTCCTGACCAAGATCTGGTGGGGGGACATGGCCTCGGGCACCCCCATCCTGCGGCTGCTGTGCGCCTTCTTCTGCCCGGCCCTCATCTACACCAACCTCATCACCTTTAGGTTGGTCAGCACAGATAGCAGCCGCTTGCCAGAGCTGTGCCAGGCTGGGGGGAGGGGAGGGGGGAGGGAGTGGAGTGCAGTTTCACTGTTGCCGGTGGTGGCACACCCCCAGCCTCCCCCCACTGCAGATCCGTGTGGCCCCTGTGCGCGCCCCCCCTCCCCACCGCAGATCCGCGTGGCCCCTGCGCGCCCCCCACCCCTCATCCCTCTGCAGTGCACCTGCTGGCCGGGGGCTCAGGGCCGAGCGGGAGCCTCGGGTGCCCTCCCCCGGTCCCTGAGGGGCTCGTGTGCTCGCAGCGAGGAGGCCCCCCTAAGGACAGGCCCAGAGGACCTGCAGGAGCTGGACAGTCTGGACACAGAGAAGAGCCTGCTCTGCGGCCTGGGCAGCGGGTGAGAGCCTGCGGAGGGGCAATGGTGGGCATGGGCGAGTTCGGGACCCCGGGTGCCCGTCTCACCACTGCCCATGGCCTCCTTCGGGCGCAGGGCGGAGGAGCTGGCTGAGGCGCTGAGGGGTGAAGGTGACCGAGGCCGGAGAGCCGCCTTCCTGCTAACACGCTGGCGGAAGTTCTGGGGGGCGCCCGTCACCGTGTTCCTCGGGAACGTGGTCATGTACTTTGCCTTCCTCTTCCTGTTCACCTACGTCCTGCTGGTGGACTTCCGGCCCCCTCCCCAGGGGCCATCGGGGTCTGAGGTCACCCTCTACTTCTGGGTCTTCACGCTGGTGCTGGAGGAGATCCGGCNCTGGGGAGGCCCTCGGTTAGAAGGCTGCTCCTGAGGGCACCCTAGCTTCTGGGGACCCACCCAATGTGTGAGCCCAACACCCTGCCTGGCTTGTGTGGCCTGCCTGACAGGGTGTCTCCAGGGCGGTCCCCTGTATAGGGGTGTGGGTGGGGGCTGGTGGAAAGTGAAGTCGCTCAGTCGTGTCTGATTCTTTCAGACCCCATGGACTGTAGCCTGCCAGGCTCCTCTGTCCATGGGATTTTCCAGGCAGGAATACTGGAATGGGTTGCCATTTCCTTCTCCAGGGGATCTTCCTGACCCAGGGATTGAACCCGGGTCTCTTGCATTGAGGGCAGACTCTTTACCATCTCAGCCACCAGAGAATCCTCCGAGAATTTCTCATGATAGTGCAGTGGGGGGTAGGGGGGTGCTCGGGGAGCCCCAGGACAGGGAACACCTTCGTGGGCCCCAGCACGGCTGGGGTTCACTGAGGGGGAGAAGGGGAACCAGTCCCTCCAACAAGGGGGGCCAGTGTGGGGGCCCAGGGCTCCAGCCGTGCTGGGCACTCCCAGGGTGCAGAGCGGGGGCAGGGGGTCCTCACTCAGGCGGGTGTCACGGGGCGATCATGGGCGCAGAGTCCCTGAGGCTGTCTGCGGCCGCTGATGAGGCAGGTCAGCGCCCGTGACCTGGTAAATATTTGTCCATGGGACGAGGACGTGACTGAGACTGGCTGACTCTGGGCTGAGGGGCTGCGCCGTCACGGGAGCTGCCTCCTAATTAGCGGGTTTTGCAGGCTCATTTCCTGGGCTGTTTTCTTAGTCCCCCCCGCGCCCGGCACGGGGCTTCGTGTGTGCTCTCCCGTGGGCACCATTTTCCAGGCCATTAGTTTAATGAGCCCCTGCCCGTCCTCCCCGGGCGGCCCCGCCTGGGGGACGCTGCCATGACCTCCAACTGCCCCAGTCCCAGGGGGCCCCTCGGGAGGAGGGGGGAGAAGCGGGCGCCCAGCACTGGGCAGGCGTGGGGTCCCTCCCAACCCGACGGCCGCACACCGATGGTACGAGGGCACTCTGCTATGGTTCGGGGTCCCCGGGGGCAGGGAGGTGCCGGACTAGGGCTGCAGACTCCCAGGGGTTCAGTTTCAAAAGCCACTGTAGCTGCCAGGCTGAGCCCCACCATGGCAGGGCCAGCCTGGGCCAGTTCGCTGAGGGTCCTTCCCCTTCCCTGTCTCTCAGGGTGGAACCCCCCAGCCAGCCCCTCCCTGGGAGCCCACCACCCTGCAGGCAGAGGGTAGTTTGCTCACTTACGGGCCGCAGGAGCCGGGTCCCAGTGTCCCGGGCAGAGCCCCCACTCTGGGCCCCAGGAGGCCCCAGGACGACCCATCTCCCAGCTGGGCCTGGCGGTGCCTCTAAGAGTCCCGGGGGAGACGCAGGCGCCTCATCACCATGGAGCTGCTTCCATCGGATGGGCAGGCCCTCTGGGCCACTCAGGGTGCCCAGGGCGAGAACGGATCTGCAGGCTGGGAGGGCAGGGGCGGCTGGGGAGGGGTCTCACACGGAGCCCCCAGTCCCCATCGAAGTACCTCACTCAGGAGGGGCTTATCCTGTGAGGGAGACACACACAGGGGAATAGGCCCTGCCAGCCTGACACGCGAGCCCAGAGATGGGAACACGGGCACACATGGAAACAGAGACCCCCGTGCCCTGCGCTGAGGCACAGCGTGAAGACAGCGGGGGGCAGCCACAGAAACACAGTCCTACGTGCATGCGTGTCCAGGTCCACACACACACGCACACACACACGCACACACACATACGCGCACACACACACGCACACACACACACGCACACACACACGCACGGCCTGCAGAGATCACCACCTGGAGCCTCAAGCCCTCCTGACGGGGAGACGCCCCACACCCCGGGGCCCCTGCGCCCGTGCGCCCCCTACCCTGGCCTCCGTCTGCACCTCCCTCCCATCGCCTGGGGCAGGTGGGGGCCAGGCTGGCCCTGCAGGGGCTGAGGCAGGCAGGGGCGGGGCTGGAGCAGGGCTCCTGGGGCCCCTCAGGGATGCCGGCCCCTCCAGATTCCCCATCCAGGGCCTGGAGCTCAGCCTGCCCCAGACTGGGTGCTCACTGCCCGTGCCCCTCCCACCCCGACGGCTCTTGGAGCTGGCTCGTCCTCCAGCCCTCAGTAACCCGTGTCAAGGGCGTTCTGCTGCTGCAGGCTTTGGGAAAGTGCAGACCTGCCCCGGCTCAGACTCCTGCGGCGGCCAGTGAGCCACAGGCCTGAGGAGTCCTGCGGGAGAGCCCCCACGCCCTCGCTGAGGCCAGCGCCCCCGATGCTGCCTTTGAGCGGAGCCTTGGGTGGGGGTGGGATGACACGGGCTGGGCTCTGCTTCCAGAGCCCGTGGGCCGCTGTGACGTCACAGCGAGGCCAGGGGAAGTGGGGCCGGCACAGCCAGGCAGACCACCCAGGACCTGGTTGTTCCAGGACTCGGACTCTGAGTGCCGAAGCCCGGACCATGCCCGGGAAAGCACGGGAATTGGCTGCCTCCCCGGGCCCTCCCCCTGGGTGGCCTCAACCGTGGGGACACAACTCTTGACGCCCACGGGCGCTGGCCGCTTGGGCCGGCCCCAACCCCACGCGCCTGGCCCCTTACAGAAGCCCGCGTGAACTGCTCCCTGCACCCACTGCTGCTGGAGGGCTCACCCTCCTGCCCCAACCTCTACGCTAACTGGGTGGTCATCCTCCTGCTGGTCACCTTCCTACTGGTCACCAACGTGCTGCTCATGAACCTGCTCATCGCCATGTTCAGGTGCCCACCCTGCCCCCTGCCTCTGTCCACTCTGGGGGGTGGGGCTTGGTTCTGGTCCCCCTGGCCCAGACCTGTCCAGGCCTCCAGACTGCAGGGGCAGTCACCTCTCTGCCCCCAGGAGGGGCTTGGATATGGGCTGTCACTCCAGAGCTGGGGCTCCCCTCTGGAGGGCTCCCCTCTGGAGGGCTCCCCTCTGGAGGGCTCCCCTCTGGAGCTCAGGGCACTGAGCAGGTGGTGCAGGCCCAGTAGGGGTGTGCGGGCAGGTGCCTGGGTCTGCCAGGCTGTAGCAGAGGGGTGGCGGGGAACCCCGGGGGCGGGGCGGGGCGGGGAGCAGGGCCACGTGCCCACGCCGCCCGCCTGCCCGCTGCTGTCCGCAGCTACACATTCCAGGTGGTGCAGGGCAACGCAGACACCTTCTGGAAGTTCCAGCGCTTCCACCTCATCGTGGAGTACCACCAGCGCCCCGCGCTAGCACCCCCGTTCATCCTCCTCAGCCACCTGAGCCTGGTGCTCAAGAGGCTCCTGCCGAGGGGGGCCCCGCAGAAGCAGGCGCGCCTGGGTGAGGCTCCTGCCAGAACCGCGTGGATGGAGGGGCCCTGGGCCTGGGTGGGGGCAGGGGGCAGCAGGTGGCGGCCCGGAGGGCCTGCCCACAGGGGGCTCCCAGGCCTCGGCCCTGCCCTGAGGCGGCCCGGCCTCCCCAGAGAGGGACCTGCCAGAGCCTCTGGACCAGAAGGTGGTCACCTGGGAGGCGGTGCAGAAGGAGAACTTCTTGAGCGAGCTGGAGAAGCGCCGGATGGAGAGCCAGGAGGAGCTGCTGCGGAAAGCGGCACGCAGGTGCGGGGGCGCCCTCCCTGGCCCGCCTGGGCCGGCGCGGCGGGCCGCTCAGGGCGCTGAGCCCGTAGGGCTGCCCTCGGAGCCAGCGCCCTCCCTGCAGCGCCAGCCACGGCCCCGCAGGGTGCCAGGCAGGGGAGATGCTGGGGGAGCTGGTGGAGAGCCAGCTCCCGGGGGGCTGGGAGATCTCTGCAGGGTGACAGGCTGCCTGAAGGCTGGCATGGCCGCTCATGTCCCAGGGTCTGGGCTGGGTAGGGACATGGCCCGGCTCTAACGAGCAGCCTCTCACCCTGGACTGGGCTCTGCTGGGCCGGGCCTGCCCTACACTTGGGGGTTGGTGCCAGGACTCCTGGGGCTCCTCCTGTTCTGGGGCGAACCTCACACCCACGCGCCTGGTCCTGCCTGCGGGTGGGAACAGCCCTGACCCCCGCCCCCACCATGCCCGAGGGGCCGGAGCACCCTGAACTCAGGTGCCCACAGAGGCTCAGTGACCCCCAAACGCACCCGAAGGGCCTGGGCATCAGTGCAGGGAGGTGGGAAGGCCCCCCATGTGGTGCATTGGCCTTCAGCAGCCTGCTGCCCGCCCGCTCCCGCCACAGGGTGGATGTCGTAGCCAAGCTCCTTGGGGGCCTGAGGGAACAGGAGAGGCGCGTCAAGCGTCTGGAGTCTCAGGTAGGTGGGCGGACCAGGGCGCCCTTCTCCTTGGGCTGGGCCTGGCAGGGGGCATGCAGTCAGGGCAGGGGCAGGGCGGGCAGGGCCTGGGGCTTCGGCACTCGTGCCCCTTTGGGGCTCCTCCAGGAGGAGACCCTGCCGCTCCCTGGGGTGCCCTGTGCTGAAGACCCCTCCCCGCCCCCTCCTCCCTGTCCTCGAGTGACAGCCGCCAAAGGGTCAGAGGGGAGCCGGCTGGCGGGGCAGGGGGTGGACGCAGGCTCGGCCCCAGAGTCCCCAGCCTGCCCTCCTCCAGGTCGGCTACTGCGCAGCGCTCCTCTCCTCCGTGGCTGACTCGCTGGCCCGCGGCAGCGCCTACTGGAGTGAGTGTGACGGTCCCCGTGCCCTGGGCGCTTGGGGGGCGGGTGGGCACGGGCAGCCCTCTGCCAGCCTGCAGTCCTGGGGCTGCGTCCTCTGCTTCCCACCCGTCCTGGGAGAAGACAGCCCCGGTCCTGGATGGCCCTTGGCTGGGGCCCTCTGTGGGAGGCACGGTTCACGGGCCCCACTGGCTGCTTCCCCCGCCCACCCCCAGCTCTCCCCGGGGCTGCCCCATTGGGCACCCAGCAGCTGTAAGGGGGCCTTCCTCCCCCTCCCCCCAGACTCTCGGAACTCCAGCAGCGGGAACCCACCAGCCTCTGCTGACCACGGAGGGGCCCTGGGTAGCAGGGAGCGCCCAGAGGCTGGCCAGTCACCCTCCAACCCCTGAGCCACCTGGACGTCAGCACATGGAGCCCCGCGCTCCCAGGGGCCCAGGCCTGGGGGGAACGGCCGTTGGCTGCTCATCCTGGGCCTCGTGGAGATGCCAGCACACACCCCCACCAGTTGAGCACCCCCAAGGGGATGTACCACCCTCGTCCTGCCCAGCACCTCCTCAGGCCTGGGAGTGCAGCGGTGTGTGTCACGGGCCCCCCGACAGACCCCCGAGCCCCATCCAGAACCAACAAGCTGGGGCCAAAAGAGCAGGCCTCACTGAATGCCTTGTGGGGGGCCTCCTTTTGGGGGGCAGCTGCCTTGGGGTCTACACCCAACCTGTGTCACCCACCAAGAGACTGGTCTTTTTCTGAAACACTTGGAGTTGGAACCTCTGTCTTCAAGACCCAGGCTGACTGTTCAGTGTGTGTGTCGGATGCCGCCCCCACGCCTGACAGCGCACATGGCGAGTGCTGGGCCATCCCGTCTGGGTAGTGGTGGCAGGTCACCACCCCAAGAGGACCCACCGCCACCCCCGAAAACTGGTTCCATGGAGCCGGGAAAGCACACCCACACCTGGGGCTGCAGTCCCAGGCAGAGGCGACCCCTGGAGGCATCCATTTAGTGAAGCACGTGACAAGGGATGGGGTCTAGGCCCTTCTGAGAACCCCACACAAGGCGAGTGGGCAGCCAGGCTAGTCTCCTGTTCCCCTGGGGACCTGGAGCCCTGGGGTAGGGGACACAGCAGCAGGGCCAGGCTGGGGCTTAACAGCAGTCACGGGAGCCGCGTCTGCCTCCCAACACCGTCTGGGGACCGGGCTCAGCGCCCTGCACAGCAATCGGCTGTCCTGGCGACACCGGTCATCCCCACACGGCGGCGGCCCAGCGTGCCGAGCCACCGGCAGCCGCTTCCCGCCCACACTCACACTCCGCTCTCCCCAGATCCACTACATCACCCCCCGGCCCCAGCCCTCACGCGAGCAGCTGCGACTCCTCCCTGGGATGGGCTAGGGTCTTAGCCTCTTGCTCGGTGCCGAGGAGAGACTAGCCTCAGTCCAACAGAAAGACCTTCTCCTGACGAGCGCGGGACGATGGGGCCTGGATGGCGGAGGGTCCCGGCTGCGGTCCCTGGGGGAGAGGCAGTCCACACAGACACACGGAGCCAGAGGAACACGCAAGGCCTTTACTGTCTCCCGGGCAGAGGACGGGTCGGGCCTCCACCACCCCCGGCCCACACCCTGGCGAAGTTTCTGCTCCCTGGTGGCACCCACAGGCAGTTGGCAGGCCGGCTCGCTGCCCTGGAGCCCTGAGCCCGCTCCAGCCCTGAAGCCGCCCCGGGGGCAACAGTGGCCAGCCTTCCAGCACAGTCAGGTCAGGGAGGCAGCCGGGAGGTCTGGCTCACACCTCCACGCCTGGGGCCTCGGGGTTGTGCCCTTGCTCCGGAAGTGGTCCCTTGCCCCGGAAGTGGTCCCTGCTCCGCTTCCTGCTGCCGTGGAAACCCACTGTCTCCACCAGCGGGGGACTGGACCCAGACCTGGCGTGGGCTACGCCCGCAAGTGCACCCACCTCCTGCAGGCCCCCTCGGGATCCGCTCCACTCCTCAGCTTCGGGGCTCCAGGGCCTGGCCAGGTGGGCCAGCTCCACGGGGCCCTCGCCCCCTGCCGTTCCTGGAACCCCAGGGTCGCTCCTGCCCGGCTCCCCCGCCTTCCTCGGGACCCGCCTCCTGTCGGGCCGAGCCTCGCTGGCTCGGGCAGGCTTGGTGAAGACAAGCCGGCCCTCCCCGCAGCTGGAGGGGTCCTGATTGAAGGAGAGCACGTAGTCGCCGGGGGCGGCCAGGTTCTGCGGGCCCAGGAAGGCCAGGGCGGCGGCCCGGTTGCTCTGCTCGCTGGCCTCGGCCACCTCTTCCAGGCTGTACCTGGTCCAGCGCTCAGGGTGGGTCACGTAGTCAGGGACGGGGGGCGCCCTTGGGGGAGCAGGGCTTCCAGCGGCCCTACGTGGGCCACCCGCTGCAGGCTGGCTGGAGGGTGGCAGCAGCTGCCGGGAGCTCCCCCTGTCCCCTGGACTGGCTGGAGCCACAGCGGGCACAGCCCGCCTGACGGCCCCCTCCAAGCCATCAAAGATGCTGTGGCTGCGCTGGGAGAAGGTGGAGCTCGTGCCTCTCAGATGGAAGGGCTGCACCGCCTCTGTGGGGAGGCCCCTGGGGGGCGAGGGGGGCTCATCGGGGCCCGAATCCCCGGAAGCCTCCCCAGGCAGCCCCCCCGGGGACAGGGCATCCACCCCAGCACCATCCGGCAGACTGAGGTCTGAGTCTGAGTCGCTGAGGGAGACAGTGTCAGGAGGCAGGACGTCGACCTCTGAGTCAAGGAAGTGTTGGCTGTCCCCTGCCTCTGCCATGTGTCCTCAGGCCACGCCACACCTGCACCGAAACAGCCCCGGGAGTCCCCGAGAACACCACAAGCTCAGACTCACTGCCCCAGGCAGGATCAGCAGGAAGAGCAGTGTCCCAGGAGGAAGCCCCCCACCCCCCCCACCCACACACTGAAAGCCCTCCTCTTACCTCCCCGTCTGCCAGGTGCCTGCTGGACGCTGGAGAGCAGGTGGGCTGAATGCTGACGAAGGCTCTTGGTGGCAATGCTCAGCGGTTCAGTGACTGGCTAAGGGCAGGGAGGGACAACCGGCCATCAGACCAGACAGCGTACCCATAGGAGTGGTGCCAATACCCCCGGAGTGGGCCTGGGTTTACAAAGCCCCCAAAACAGCCAGGCCCAGGAGCCGGTCCTTTTGACTTGTTACCTCCCTCAGTCCTTGCCAGGCAGGTCTGACTAGAGCCACTAGGGGGCCCGCACGGGGGTGGTCTGGCAGAGAGCAGCCAGCCGGGGCGTCAACCCAGGGTCACCAGCAATCCTTGCGCTCCCTCTATCGGCCAAGTGCGGTGCGTGGCAGGCAGTATGCTTAGTAGCTCAGTTGTGTGCGACTCTTTGCAGCCCTTTGGATTGTAGTCTGCCAGGCTCCTCTATCAGTAGGAATTTTTAGGCAAGAATACTGGAGTGGGTTGCCATTTCCTTCTCCAATAAATAAGAAATGAATGAATGACACGTGTAACACAGTTCTGTGCTAAAGCAGGCATCATCCTCCTCGGACTGGCTAGCAGCTGCAGGTGTGAAACATTAAAAAAAAAAATCTGTGGAATACAAACTGGAAAATACAGATACAAACTGAGGATATTCTGGCCATTAACTGAGTAATTTTTCACTTGGGAGAAAGACTGTCACTGTTTCATTTTGATACAGTGCCAGTGTTTCCACACACTAGCGTATTCAATTGTTTTGTTCTCATAACCTATATACTTTCTATCGGATTACAAGGAGTTGTGAAGGGTGATCACACTTTTCAAAAAGTGAAATTACAGAATCTACTTCATATCAGTCACTAGTCTAATCTTGGTAACTGACAAGTCCTGTGGTGGTTCCACATGATAGCTTATTACGCGTGTTCGGGTCAGTGAGTGCGCAGAGGTACGGTAAACAGCTGACAGTCATGGCAGTAATTGCAAACCGGCTCACTGAACAGCTCGAACTGACTCACAGTCAGGACTTCATAAATACTTGCTGTGTGGATGAGGAGTATGTTTATTCACTTTGCTAACAATTGCAATAAAGAATTTTAGAGCTTTCTGCGGGATGCTGCCGGAGGAAGGGGCACGCAGGAAGTACTCCATAAAGCCAGGGGCACCTGCAGGCTCTGTGGGGAGGAGGTGAGCTCCTGAGTGCTGAGAGATGCCAGCTCTATGGAGAGGAGGTGTGCTCCTGAGTGCTGGGAGATGCCCTGGGAGCTCCAGAAGGGACTGCAGCCAGGCCCTTGGCATCTGAGCATCAAGCTCTCAGGAAGCTGGCTCAGCCTTGCTTGGCAGAGGCCGGCGCCACAGCTCCTGAGGCAACCCCCAGGGACATTTCCTGTGATCCTCCACACACCCTTCACTTTCCCAGCGAAGCACAGAAGTCCTGCCAATACCTGGTTAGCATTCTAGTGTCACCAGGCACCCTGAAACTTGTTTCCAGGCTCAGAGGACAGGCCTCAGCCTCCGCCCACCAACTGCCTCTTCCCACCAAGCCTCCCGTGCTTGCCCAGGGTGCTTGCTCCGTTGCAACGGCGCCCACCAAATACCAGGCCAGGTGGACCAGGAGTGGCTCTGAGTGACCTGCTCCAGGTCAAAACACAGGTGAGATCTCCATTCCTCTGGGCCTTGCATGACTCCCAAAATAAAGGAACAACTCCAGGAAAGGGGACAAGAAGTAAACGCCAAAGGTGTCTGTTTTAGGGCTGGCAGGACCGGAGCGAGGAGAAATTGCCCGTCATTCAGTACACTGGAGGCAAAGGTGGAGTTCCAACCAGCCTCCAGCTTCCTAAATTTGCATTCCCGTCCCCTGGACGCCCGTGATCAGTGGGACACGCCGAGGGGAGCCGGGAATCGCAACCCCAAGACCGGGCATGCCAGGTCTGCGTCTCAGTTCTCTGAGAATTTCCTGAGCTCACTGCAGGGCAGAGCTGAGTCCAGGCTGAGGGAGGCGCGGTTTTCTCAGGGCCGGGGTCGGGCTGGCCAGGTCCCAGGGAGCGCTGGCTTCCTTGTGGGTTGTCTCTCTCCCCCGGAAGGCAGAGCCTTTATTTTCTCCACTCCACGCGCCCAGAATCTCGGCGCGTGCCCAGCAGGCGCTCGTGTCAGCGGCCTGAGTCCTGCGGCCAAGTCAGGCGGGGGCGGGCCAAGGGTCCGGGCCTCACGAGGGTCTCCCCGGTCGGGGCAGAAGACTACGGACAGTGCCCCGCTGAAGCCCGACGGGTCAGCAGCACGGTCCTCCCCACCAAAAACCTACCGGCTCACTTCGGGCTGGCTGCCTCCATCTTGCGCCGCGCTCAGCCCTTTGGGAAACCGAGTCCCCCGCTGGCCGAGAGCCGTTTCTCCTACGCCTGAAGAACTACATCTCCCACAAGGCACCTGGCTTCCGCTCCCGAGGCCTATCGGGAGTGATGTCTTTGGCATGCGCTGCCTTCCTTACAGGAAACGGTGGCGCTCTTTCGCGAAGAGACCGGAATTGACTCAGGAAGGGAGTCGGGGTGAGGAGGCAGGGCTACGACTCCCAGAATGCTCCAGGGCTAACGGCCAGAGCCTCGTTCCTGGTACTGTAGCCCACTTTGCCGGAAGCCGCGAGAACCGGAAGTGCGCCAACGTTCCCGGCGCGGTTCCCAGGCACTTCCGGTCCCCTTCCGGAGCTGCCGGCCCAGCAGTTTCGGGTCCCCGGAGCCGGGCCGCGGGGCGTGTCCCGCCCACTGGACGGGTCAGGCAGGCCACCGCGCGGCAAGCCGCCTGAGGGAGGCGCCCTGGCCTCGCCTGCCGATCGTCCGACTGGTCATTTCTGCCCCGAAAATTAAAGTCTCCCAGTCGTGTCCGACTTTGCGACCCCGTGGACTATACAGTCCATGGAATTTTCCAGACCAGAATACTGGGGCGGGTAGCCTTTCCCTTCTCTAGGGGATCTTCCCAACCCAGGGGTCGAACCTAGGGCTCCCACATTGCAGGCGGAGTCTACCAGCTGAGCCACCAGGGAAGCGCACACTGAAGCTCAGCAGTGGACCGCCAGAGGGAGCCCCCTCGGGCAGAGCTGCACCCAGGAATCCAGGGTTCAGGCCGTGCTGCCTCCCAGCCAGGAACCCAGAGAGGAAACAGGACCCACTTTAATGTGCAACCTTGGGACACGTCTTATGGCATCTGATCCCATCACTTCATGGCAAATAGAAGGGGAAACAGTGACAGATTTTATTTTTGGGGCTCCAAAATCACTGCAGATGGTGACGGCAGCCATGAAATTAGAAGACACTTGCTTCTTGGAAGAAAAGTTACGACTGACCTAGACAGCTTATTAAAAAGCAGAGACATTACTTTGCCAACAAAGGTCCGTCTAGTCAAAGCTATGGTTTTTCCAGTAGTCATGTATGGATGTGAGAGTTGGACTATAAAGAAAGCTGAGCACCAAAGAATTGATTCTTTTGAACTGTGGTGTTGGAGAAGACTCTTGAGAGTCCCTTGGACTGCAAGGAGATTAAACCAGTCCACCCTAAAAGACATCAGTTCCTGAATATTCATTGGAAGGACTGATGCTGAAGTTGAAACTCCAGTACTTTCACATCACACCACCTGATGTGAAGAACTTGAAAAGACCCTCATTTGAAAAGACCCTCATGCTGGGAAAGACTGAGGGCGGGAGTAGAAGGGGACAACAGAATGAGATGGTTGGATGCATCATCGACAATGGACATGGGTTTGAGTAAATTCTAGGAGTTGGTGATGGACAGGGAGGCCTGGCGTGCTGCAGTCCATGAGGTCGCAAAAAGTCAGATGTGACTAAGTGACTGAGCTGAACTGGGGGCATGTCATCCCTAAAGGCGCCCACACACACGGTCTCACCAGGAATGAGGGAGTCCAGGCCACCCCAGGCACTAATTCACATCACAGCTTGAAGAGGGTCTCGCGGCACAGGGAGAAGTAAAAAGGAGCAGGTTCCCTGGGCCATCCGTCTCCCAACCCACCAGTCCCTATTTGGACTTTGGAGGAGCAGGCCTACGGAGGCCCTGTGACCCCCAATGCAGGGCTGGGAACTAGTTTCCAATATCAGCCCCCAAGAAGGCCACCAGGAGCCCTTGACATACGAAACTCAGCCAGGGACTTGGAGCCTCAAGAGGTCAATTTAGTGCACAGGCGAGTCAGTACCTGCCTGCAGCTCATGGTGACATTACCCAGCATTCCTGGCGGGGGCAGCAGCCTCTGGCTGGGCCTCGGTCCCCGGGGCTGGGCCAAGTGGGCTCCCCCAGGGAGTGGCTGAGGGCTTCACCTCCAACCCCTGGAAGATGGGGCCACCCAGCCCCTTGACAGGAGGTTAAAACCCGCTAGACAGGAAGAGACGGCTCCTTGGAGGGAGCCGTGTGTCCATCTTCTACGGAGCTGACCTTCACGGGGGGGTCTGCAGGGCCCTTCCATCCTGTACCATGTTTTTTGGGTCGTCCTGCCCACCCCTCATTAGGGCCCCCCACCCCGGGCAGTAGTGCCAAGGAACGGGAACGGGAGTGAGGACCGGGTGAAGGCTGCTGCTGGCGACACAAGGCCCAAGAAAGGGGCCCCGCTGGCACACCAACAGGGTCAGTGGCACACCCCGGGACCAATGAGATCCAGAGAGCTGAGCACCACCCGTGCCAGGCTCCTCGGCCCCTCAGGCTGCCCCCCGGGTCTCAGAGGCCACAGGCACAAGGAGGGGCCAGACCGTGTTAGCATGCCTGGTTTTTCCTTCTTTATTGAATGACTTTTCAAGATGTAATTACAATTGAAGGTGACGCGTTAGAAAGGAGAGGTGCGCATTGAAGGCATAAGGCTGCTCGTAGACCCGGCTCTAGAGACAGGTGGCCGGAAAGGAACAAGGATTAAAAAAAGGCTGAGCGTGTGTGCTGCCCATGGGGACGGGCGCATGGGTGCAGCTCGGCCAGACGGCCCTTGGTGGCCCCCAGGAGAGGCCTGGCTGAGCAAGCAGAGCCCCCAAGCAGCAGAGGGGGCCCCTGCCCTGCAGTCCCCACAGTCCACTCACACGCCACCCACAGGTGACGTCAGCCCCAAAAGGACAGTTAACAGGAAGCTTCGGGACAAGAACAAAACCTCAAAAGTAAAAAAGCTGATAAGTGTAGCAGTGATACCAGGAGGTTATATACACAGGTGGCGACGGCCCCTCCTCAGAAGTGTCCGGGTCGCTCCGGGGGGCGCCGCTGGGGTCCCCGAGGCCCCTCCCCGAGGCCTCAGTGGCCGCAGGCTCAGTACACTGAGCTGTTCCGGATGCCGCAGCAGAGCACCATGCTGAGGATCATCTCGAAGATCTGCAGGGAGGGGGTGGGCGGGCTGTCAGCTCCCAGAGGCCCCTGGGGAGGGCGTGGAGACCCCCGGGGGGTCAGCTCAGTCAGCTCTCGGAGACCCCCAGTGTGGGGGGGATCCCCAAGCAGAGCCGGTCCGCCCCACTCACCATGATCACAGCGACCACGATGGCCGCGATGCCGATGAGGTACAGCTTCCCCGAGAAGAGCTCGTCGATCTTCCCATGGCAGTCCTCCTGCAGGGGCGGCCAGAGGGCAGTCAGAGGCGCCCGTCCTCCGACCCCATGAGGCAGCAGCCCGCGGCCCCGTGGAGGGGCATAGCCGCACCCCCAGGGGCCTCCAGAAGAGGCGTGAACAGCACCTGATCTCTGGCCGGTGTGAAGAGCGAGCATGCCGAGGGCACCCTCCCCGGCTCAGAGACCACGAAGCACCGTCGGGCCAGGGTTGGCCCGCAGCCCCAACTCCAGCCACTGCACGGCCTGGCATGACCATGGCCTGGCCGTGGCCTGTGGGAGCCTCGGGAGGCCCTGCCACCACACAGGACCCACCAAGGGGCGGCAGCCAAACGGGAATCGCCACGTACCTTGAACAAATTAGTGATGACGTTGCCACCGGAGGGACACAGGCTGTTCTTGAGCACAGAGGTGGTCAGTGTGGTCAGCGTGTTGGAGCCACAGCAGTTAAGCTGCAGGGGTGGAGGGCGCCTGCCGTCAGCCCTGGGCATGTGTCCCGCAGGCTGCAGAGACCTCAGGAGCCGCCCTGGCCCGGGGGCCGGGGGGCTGGAGGCCGGGGGGCTGGGCGCCGGGGGGCCGGGGGCCGGCCCCTCCTAGGGGAGAGCCAAGCCAAGGGGCCCACTCCTCCCCACTCTTCCACTCAGCTGCGCTGCACCCCGGCTGGCCTGGCCCACCTAGTTCCCGCCGGGGAACCCCAGAAGAGCCCAAGTCCCCGAGAGTGGGGCTGCCAGGCCCTGGTGCCCCTCCCGCTCCAGGCTGAGATCACATCAAGAGGACAAAACCTGCAGCCCAGGCCTCTACCTTGGTGCCCCAGGCTCCCTGGACGCCCGCCCCCCCAACCCCCGCCACTGGTGCCCCCAGCCTCCGGCCCCGCCGTACCGTCTCATGGAAGGTCTTCACCACGGCCTTGGCATTGTTGGCTTCGTCGTCCACTATGGCCTGCTGTAAGGCCTGGTCATAGAACTGCTTCACGTCTTTGGCGATCTGGGGAAGGAGGTGCTCACAGCACAGGGGGACTTTCCCCCCCGAGACGTGCCTTCATCTGGCTCTCTTGGAAGGTCAGGATGGACCCACCGCCCGGAGCTGGGGGTGGGGGGGCTCTGCCTTCCACTTGGCCGCTGCGCCCCCTCCTCCAGGAAGCCCTCTGTGGCTTCCTACCCAAAGAGCCCGCCCAGAGAAGCGCCCCCAGGCTGAGCCCCTGCCCTCCCCACCGGCACCCCTGCCCCACCACCTGGAAATGACTCACCTGGTCCTTGTTGACAAAACCCCAGATGCCAGCGGCCACCTCACAGGCAAAGAGGATCACCAGGCAGGTGAAGAACTGGGGAGGGGAGAAGAGGGGAGGGCAGAGAGGAAGTCAGAGCAGGCCAGAGGGGGTCCGGGGCTTCCTGAGGCCGGCAGGTGACGAGCAACCCAGGGACCCATAGGCGCGTGTGGGGTGCTCGGCGGCACCCACCCACCCCAGCCCTGACGGGGATGAACTGTGTGAAGCGGTGTCTGGGACTTGGGCAGGTATTGACCTGCCACCCTTCTCATCAGCCCCGAGGGACTGGGCTCCAGAGGACAGTTCGGCTGCGTGGGGGGAGGGCAAGGCTGGCTCTGGGCAGGTGGGAGGGGACAGGGAGCAAAGCCGGTGGGAAGGGGGTCACTGTGGTGCACCCGGGAGCCCCCCACGGAGACACAGGTGCAGATTCCCCAGCCCACACTGCCCAGACGCCAGGCCCTGGGCAGTACGGACAGGCCTGTGCTTCCTGTGGGTGGGTGACTTTCCAGGGACACCTGATGCTGGTCCGGCAGTGGGGACTCACACTTTACCGTATCTGTTGCTTGTTTTAAGAAAGAAGAGAGAGAAGCAACTTTGGGACTTACAACCAGGAACTAGACAAAAAACTAGCCATAGCGGCCATCTGCCACGGTGGGGTCTGAGAACAAACTGGGGCAGCCGGAGAGCTGGCACTCACAGGAGATTCGCAGGGCCACACTGGCACCGAGCTCCTGGTTCTGCCCCCTGGCGGGCCCCCACCCCACCCCATGCCCAGCCCAGGACCTTACCGTGCCCAGGAGGCACTGGGACTCCTGGATGGCCCCGTAGCAGCCCAGGAATCCAACGAACATCATCACGGCACCCACGGCAATAAGGATGTAGATGCCTGCCGCGGAGAGAGAGGGCACCCTCAGCGACCCACCGTCCCGGAGCCCCAGCCCCCCAGAAGCCCTCCTCCCTGTGCTGGGCACGCACAACACTGCCCGGGGCTCCAGAGGGCCCACCAGGCGCTGGCGCCCACCCTGCCGGGAGGAGGTCAGACACCCAGGTCAGCGGCTTGGAGAGGAGCCTCGAGGGGGAAGCGGCCTGGCAGGGCCGTGTGGGCACCTCTGTGGGCCTCAGCTCCCTCCTCTGTGACATGGAGGGAGGCAGGCATCGCCGAGGCCAGGACCGAATGGCCAGGCATGAATTTTCAGGGGCCTCAGCCTAACCCCACCACCTGTATGCACTCTGATTCCTGAGAGCCTCCAGGGCTTGGTTGGTGGGCCTTGGAGAGTCACCCGTCTCTCGGTGCCAAGGGCCCAGCTACTGGCCTGGGGGGCGAAGCGGAGACCTGGGGTCTGCCGGCCCCCCTCACTTGAGGGCGACACACAGGGTCAGTCTGTCCTCCTGGCCTGCCCAGCACTCATTGATGGCCACACAGCCCTTCCCTGAGTCTGCAGCCCACCCACAAGGGGCCTTCGCCCCTTGAAACACTGACCACGTCTCTCCAAAGACTTCCCACAACCCTAGGCCTTCCAGCAGACCTGGGCCCACCCCCTGCCCCCAGTTGCCATGGTTACGCAGCAGGCGAAGCTAGGACAGAGCTAGGACACCAGGTCCCAGGGCCGTGGTGCCAAGGGCCTGTTGGCCCTGCCTGGCCAGTCTCTGGAGAAGTCTGGGAGTTGGGACCCACTGCCAGGCTCAGAAGAAGCCTGAGGTCCCCTCTGGGCCAGACAGAACCTCTGGGCGACCCCAAGTGGACCTGGCCAAGGGGAAGCCCCAGGGGCTCCTCACTTGGGACACGACCAGGTTCCGAGACTCCCATCCCCATGGCCCTCCCTGAGGTTCAGCAGGATGGCGCAGGGTGCCAGGGAGGGGCACCCTGGCAGGTGCCGGCCCCCAGATCCCCCCACAGTGCCAGGCTTCCCACTGCAGTGGGCTCTGGCTCTGGCCAGTGAGGCCAGGGACCCTCCCGGGCCCTGCCGCATGGCCCGGTTGCTGCTGGAGCCTCGCTGACCACCCTGACTTCCCGGCAGTAGACAGAGAGCGCGTGTCAGGGCCCACGTCTGCCCCCACCTCCCTGGCAGGCCCCGTCTGCATCGGAGCCAGCCGGGGGGTTCCGGAAGGCGGGCCCCGGGTGGGCAGGGACACTGCAGCCAGAGGGGCTCTGAGAGGCCCCTCCCCTGGTGGCATGGTGGCGTGGCAGAAGCCTGGGACCAGGGGCTGGTTCCCAGCCTGCCAGGTGGCCCAGCACTCCTTCACTCCTTCCCTGAGGGGGGCCCTCAGGCCCAGCAACGGCGTGATGTGGCGGAACGGGCTGGAGGGGCACCGGCAATGCCAGCCATGCCCCCCACAAGCCTCCCTGCAAGACCCTTCCCACCGCGGCCTGGGCCCGGCCCCCAGCCTCCAGTCTTCTGCCAAGGTCTCCCCAGACCCCCACTCGTCTGCCCCGGGCTGTGTCCCCAGGGGGCCGTGCGGGGCCACCCAGGTCTGCAGCCCGCTGCCACCCTTGCCCCGTCCAGCCTGAGGCAGGCGGCCTCCAGCTCCTCTCCCGGCTGCCAGGCCACACACTGGGCTGAGAGCAGGAGCCAGCCGAGCCACGAGGAGAGGGACTGCCTTCCCCCGGTGCGCCCACGGCCCCGCACCGAGAGCTCGGAGAGGCGGACGCGGACAGGGCACTGTGGCCACGCAGGGGGTGGGGGGGGGCCCTGGGCAGGGGGAGGAGAGGCCTGGGAGGAGCCCCGGGGAGAAACCCCTGGAGCGTCCAGAGGCCTCAGAGAACAGTCGTGCGTCCTCAGACGAGTGGGTAAGGCTGACCGCTTGGCTCTTGAGGGTGCCTGGCATGTGGTGGCGGGGGAGGCGGGTCACGGTCCCCTGTGCACTCTCGAGGTGCGTACACCCACGCTCTCTGCCTGAGACTCAGACCTGAGGGGGCCCCGCAGCCTGGGGGGTGGGGAGCCAGGGATCCTGCGGACAAGGGCTGGAGACCCTCTGTGGAGGGCTGGCCCCGGAGACCGCCACCAGACCACGGGCTCCAGCCCTCCCGGGGCCCGGCCCAAAGAGGACCTCCATGGCCCTGGGGCGCCCCAGCCCAGCAGCCAAGCATGTATCCCAAGTATGGGGCCCCCAAGCAGCGCCTGGGAAGGACTGGGACCCCTTGCAGGGTCCACGCAGGGCGGCGGGTGGTCACGGGCCCCACACGAGCCCTGCAGGCTTCCTGCCTGCTGCTCTGCCTATGGGGACAGAAGCGTCTCCGCACACCCTCCCTGATCTCTCCGGGAGCCAGGCCCATCTTGGGGGGGGGGG